CCGGTCGGCGCAGGCGCAGGCGCCAGCGGTCGCTGGGGCCCTGCGAGAAGCTGGCCCGGCCCCTTGATCCGCTTTTCCAGTGCCCTAGTTTGGGCTTCCACGACCTGGAGGCCAGAGACTTGTGTCGGAATAAGCTGCTTTATTCAAATAGCAAAAGGTTGGCTTTTGCTAAAAAACAAACAAACAAAATCACGTGATTTGTCAAACCTCGGTTGCCTGTCTTTGCAGCTCCGGGAGGGGGACATCCCGGGCAGGTCACCAGGAGCGTCCTTGGCTGCCAGACCCCTGTGTGAGGGAACTGTCGTCGTCCCACCGTCCTGGTGAACACTTAGCACCCTAGGATCTGAATCCAGGGTAGAGCGAAGCAAAAGCTTGGCTTTTCTCTCTGGCATCCCCTGGGGCGGGGCTGGGGGCCCCTCACCCAGTCTGTGATGCCACCCTCAGCTCCTGGCTGGCCGCAGAGAGGTGGGTGGGGCAGCCAGGGGACGGGAGGCCCACAGCACTCCCTGCTAGGAAGCTGCCAGCAGGGAGGGAGGGGTTGGCAGCCTGCACTCCCCAGAGGCAATGGAAAAAGTGCACCATGTTGGCCATCAGGTCGCAGGAGATGGGGGGGAGGTCACTCCTTGGTCCTCCGCAGGGTGGACACAGAGCTGGTGGGCTTTGCTGACCTCGTTGTATTCTAAAGTGAGAGGCCCGTGTAGCCCTGGACCAAGCAGGACGACTTGTCACGAGACCAGGCCTCTGTCTGTAAGCTGAGCAGAAAGCTTGGTCTCCCTGGGGCCAGTGACCAGCCGGGGACAGCCCAAACCTGGACCTCTGGATGCAGCAGGGGTCTGTAAGTCCTCGTGGCCAGACTCCCTCTGCCTGGCCAGGGCTGGACTGGCAGCAAGAGGCACAGGCCTCCAGGGAAGGCCCAGCGTGCCTGCTCCCTGAAGGCCACCTCGTCTTCTTCACTATGGAGAAATTAAATGGTGCCTGGTTTTGCTGAATAGGCCTCTGCAGGCTCCCGGTGGCTCAGAGGACCAGCAAGCAGATGAATGTGACCCTCCTTTCTAGAAGGGACCGGTGGGTTCCGTTTAAAGCCTTCCCTGCCATCGCCGTGAAAGCCACAAGCTGTCTGCTGATCCTGTAGTCTGCAGCTCCCTGCTGGCCACTCAGTGCCCCGGGCCATGTGACACCATCCTTTGGGTTGTTAAAGGAAATTCAGGGCACTTTACTCGATATGAATAGTGTGCTGACTGGCACACAAACTATTCATGAACAGGAAGATTTCCAGCCCAGAGTGGTTAAAAGTTTGGTCTTCAGCAGTAGCTGAACAGGCAGCTTGACTGAAATACACTGCTGAGGGGAGCAGCGGGGAGACAGGAGAGTCTGCCGCGCCCTGGGGGTCCCTCCCTGGCCAGGGACTGAACTCGTGCTGCAGGGGCTCAGACAGCTTCCTAGTGCTGCGCTTTGACCCCTGTGCCATTAGGGAGGGCCCAACGTAATTACTTTAAATGTATGTGGATTAAATTCTCCGATCAAAAGCCAGAGGTTGGCGACTGAATAAACACACAGGATGCAATTCCACGCTGAGACTCACTTTAGATTGAAAGACACAAATAGATTGAACGTGAAAGGAAGGAAATGGCTTGTTGGAGGGAATTCCTGGAGTGTCAAAGAAGAAACTCAAGCCTTGGCAGCAAAGAAAGCCCTGACAGACCAGCTCCCCAGCCTGCGCTGCCACTGCCACTGGGGGTGCAGCAGGGATGGGGGTGCTGCAGCATTCGGGTCCTGCCTGCCTCGGAGCGCTTTCTCCCACCCTTACTTCTATCTCTCAGCCCATCCCGAAGCCCCAAGCAAGTGGAAGAACTATGCATCAGCCCCCCACCCCCAAAGGCACCAGGGCAGGGAGGGGACCGGCCTGAACGAGCTCTCCCCACACAGGGACGGGGGTCTGCAGCGCTAGGGGACCCCTGGAGAGGTGGCAGCCAGGAGTGGGTCATGCTGAGGGAGTCGCTTTACCGCAGTCGGGCCCCGGTGGCATCTGGGGAAAGCTGCACTGGCTGCCGGGATGCAGGCTCTGACTGACACGGAGCCGCTTGCCGGCCCTTGGCAACTCCCTCCTGGCGAGGGCAACCGGGCACGCCCAGCGCCAGGCCTTGCGGGCCTTCCCAGGCCTTTCTAGGGCCAGCCAAGGTTGAGGGAGCCAGACAGCTGGGGGGGGGGCGCGGCAATGCCTTTTCTGGCATTCATCCGGAACACGCAGTCAGGGGGCCTGGGGTCTCGAAGCCAGGGGTCGTCAGACTTACGAGTGGCCTGCCACGAAAGGGAAACCAAGATTCGCTTGTGGAAAGTGACGCAGGGGACTCAGAGGTCTCTGGGAGACAGATGGCACAGGGCCAAGTCCCACCCTCCCTTCCTGCCCGGCCCAGGGAACAGACTGCACGTAGGCTGTTGTCAGGGCCACTTTATTGGGGATGTGCACAGGGGATGGAGGGCAGGGCCGGGGGTTCAGCACTGCCGGTGTGATGAGCCTGTGAGAAGCGGCAGACTCGTCAGGCCGAGCATCAGCGCTTGGAGAAATCACCTCCTGGAAGATGAAGGCGGCAGAGATGTGTTCGCAAAGAGGCGGATGGGTCAGGCCAGGTGGCCAAGAAGACGGGCGGGGCTGCGAGCGCACACTGGGAGCTGCCCAGCGCAAAAGCCAGGCTCGGCAGGCGCTGCCCAGGCTGCAGGGGCCGCCCGGTGCCCGTCTCAGCTGCCGCACAGGTGCTTGGGAAGAACCAGGCACTGCCGGGCACTCACACACCTGTGCTGACCAGCCAGCCTGGTCAGAGAGGCCCAGCCCAGGAGGAAATAGGTGAGCTGGGACCTGCACCAGGCCTGGCTGACTGCAGGCGCCCAACCTTACCAGAGATTGCAGAAGAAATGGGGGAGCGAGTGGGTCAGGGCATTCCAGGGAGAACCGGCCTAAGGACTGTCCAGGGCCGGCCGGTTGGAGCCCAGTTTTCTCCTCCCCAGCCCAGCCCAGGTCTCCTCTGGGGGGAGGGTCTCCCTGGCTAGCTCAGGCCCCACTCTCTGCCCCTCCCGGCTGGGGCCCCGCCCCTCCCCACCCTCCTGGCTGGGGCTCCGCCCCCACCCTAGCCC